GCGCAGGGGCGCGGGCGGGGCGGCAGGGGCGGCAGGGGCGGCCGGGTTCGCGCGCCCAGCTCCCGACGAAGCAGCGCACCTTCTTCAGCGAGGTCGGCCTCTTGGCCTTGGGCACCTCCCTCTGCTTCCCCTTCTTCACCAGGGGCGCGCTGGAGTCCAGGGGGTTGTGCGGGGTCTTCACCGGGCCGGGGCGCTGGCCCTTCTTCCCGGACGCGGACTCCCTGGAGAGGACGGGCACCGCCCCGACTGCAACACAGGGGGAGCCGGGCTCAGGCCGCCGCCGCCGGGCGCCTGCCCGCCCCGCAGCCTCACCCCTCCTCACCAAGCCGCCCTCAGAGGTGGTTCTAGCTGGCAACGGTTCTCAGTGGAATGTACTCTCTTTCGGCAGAGATCCAACACAGTTATCAATCAGTCTGGGAAGAGCCATCTTCCTGTCCCTATACTCAAACCTCGGATGTTTCTCAGTGAAGTCTGATGACGTGCGGGTCTCACTTGTGGACTAAGGATTTTTCCAGGTAGCTTGTACTTAACATGCCTCTTTTTTTATTCGTCTTTTTTTCAAATTGAAGTCTAGTCAGTTTACAATCAATTTCTGGTGCACAGCACAATGCTTCAGTCGTACATGCATATACATACATTCGTTTTCATTTTCTTTTTGACCATAAGCTACAAGATAGCAAATACAGTACCCTGTGCTACACAGTATAAACTTGTTTATCTATTTTACATATACCAGTATCTGCAAATCTGAACCCCAGTTTATCCCTTCCCAACCCCCTTTCCCCCCAGTAGCCGTAAGTTTCTCTACTATGTCTGAGTCTGTGTCTGTTTTGGACATACGTTTGTCCTTTTTTTTTTTTAAGATTCCACAAATGAGTGATACGTGGCATTTTTCTGTCTCTTTCTGGCTTACTTCACTTAGAATGACAATCTCCAGGGCCATCCATGTTGCTACAAATGGCATTATTTTATTATTGTTTATGGCTGAGTAGTATTCCATTGAATAAATACACCACAGCTTCGTTATCCATTTTTCTGTCGATGGACATTTAGGCTGTTTCTGTGTCTTGGCTGTTGTAAACAGTGCTGCTATGAACATGGGGTGTAAAAGATGCCTCTTTTAAGTAAGTCTCTCCACCATATTCAGTTGACGCCACCTTTGCAGAAGTCAGCTGTTGGTTTCCTTAGGCATATCGTCTGCCTTCTAAGAGTCTAATAATATTTCAAACTGATTCTCTTGTGTTTTCTGGACATAAACACAGTTTTCTAAGTTCCCGCACACACAAGCCCTCCTCGGGGTCAGGACATGAACGCGATCACTACTCGTGCTTCCGCATCCTGCCGTTCTGCTCTACTCCCCACCTTGTTCCTGGTCCAAAAATAGTTCATTGGTGCAGACTTTCCCCCTGCTTTTTAATTAGGAAAGTTTCCAAACACACACCAAACAAAAGAGAATGTATAACAACAAACCCACATAATTCACTGTCCAGCTGCAACAATTATCAGTATTTTTCCAAACATACTTTACCCACCCTCCTTAATTTTGGAATGTTTTTAAAGTGCCGTGTAGACACAGGGGTAACTCCTGGAAAGGCAAGCCAAAAATAAATAAATAAATAAAAACCAGCAAAAAAAAGAAAAAAGTGAGCAGAGACATCAGCACCCACGCCGTGGGGAAGACAGCCACCAGATTCAGACAAGAGCAGTCTCTTAAAAACAAACAAACAAAAAACAGTAACAACAAAAACCAAACCCATCAACGTCACTACTCTCGGAAGAAAAAATCAAATTCAGAGCTGCTACAAGACATTAACCAAAATATTTAATGAGAAGTCTTGAGACTTTCAAAGAAACAACAAAGTGTGACCCATCCTATACTGTGGCACATACACAAAAGAATTATTTATCAAGAAAAAAATGAATTACAAAGCCACAGAAAGACACTGATTAATCTTAAATGCATCTTGCTATGTGAAAAAGCAACCAGTCCGAAAAGCTAGATACTTTACCACTGAATTACATAATATTACAGAAAAGGCAAATATTAAAGATGCCCAACAGATCAGTGGTCGCCAGGAGTTGTGTTGGGAGCACTGCAAAGATTAAGCACAGGAAATTTTAATGCAGTGAAATTATTCTGTAAAATACTGTAATGGTGAATTTAATACATCTGCCAAAATGCTTAGAATACACAGAACTTTACAGCAAAAATTAAATTTTAACATGTACAATTCAAAAAATATTTACATGTAGAGCATTTCCAGATGCAAGGAAGACTGTGACAAACAAACTAAATGTACTGTAATGTAAGAAATGAATCTGTCAGCTTCTGCTCACCTGAAAATATCATTGCTTTTACTTTCTGTCTTGAAAATGGTTTTGATCAGTCTGAAATTTTAGATTGATTGAAATGTCTCAACATCATCTTCTGATTTTCAAGTTAATACTGAGGATTGTATTATCAGTCTAACTATGTCTACTTGGTACATGACCTCCCCTTATTAAATATTAAAATATCCTTTTGTTTCTGAATTGTTGAGCTATTATATATATATTGCTAACATTAAAGATAATTTCTTTAACTTAAAAAAAAAAAGTGTGACCCATCCTAAGAAAACAGGAACTGTCTGAGCGTCTGCAGCTTTGGCACACAGCAGATCAAAACTTCAAGGGAACTGTGAGAACAGGTGTAAACACAGTATTTCAATAAACATAAATTATAAAGAAGAGGCCCAGCAGCAGATCTGAGATGGAATAAGTATCAGCAAACCTGAAGATAAATCAACAGAAACTACTCAACTGAAAGAAAAGATTTTTAAAAACTGCAAACAAATGAACAGAGCCATGGGAGACCTGTGGAGCAACAACACACACAGCAGCATACATACAACGGGAGTGCCAGGAGAGGAGAGGACAGACAAGAAAAATATTTTGAAGAAATAATTTCTCAATTCCCCAAATTTGATGAAAATTTTAATCTGTAGAGCCAAAATAGTATCAATATTATCCAGCAAAGGTATTGTTGAGAAATCCACACCTGGACACATTACAGTCGAAGTGCTGAAGGTCAAAGCCAAAAGAAACTATGGAAGCAGCAAGGGAAAAACCACCCATCACAGAAAGTGGAACAAGAACACGTATCACTTACTGCCTCTCAGGCGACAGGAGGGCAGCGGAATGACATTCAAAGTCCCGGGGGAAAACTGTCAACCAAGAATCCTATATCCAGCAAAACTGAGCTTCAGAAACAAAGAATGTAAAATAACGATGTTCTCAGCTAAACAAAGACAGAGAACTCATTGCTTAGCAGTTTCTGGACGTTGAAGGAGGCCCATGAGTAGAAATACTGAAGAAAGTGACACCAGAAGGTAACTGAATCCAGACAAATAAATAACGAACATAAAAACTTACAAGCGTAAAACTGGTAAATACAGATTTTTCTCCCCTCATTTCTTCTGTTAACTTCTTTAAAAGATACAGCTGCATAAAGCAGTAATTACAACAGTGTACTGTTTGATTTATAACATACGTCTGTGTACCATACATGACAACCACAGCCCAAAGAGAGAAAACAGTTATACTGGGATAAAGTTTCTTCAAAATACAAAATATAAAGTATGAAAGATGCATACTGTAATTCCCAGAGCAGCCACTTCACTTGTTTATAAGCAACCACTTATTCCCTAATTTTTAAGAAAATTAATTTTTTTAAAGGGAAAAAATCAAGAATGGACTCCAAATGGTACTCTAAGTATACTTACTAAACGTAACAGAAAACACCTGAGGATAAACAGAGGAACACATAAAACGTGACAGTATCAGAAAAGGCCGACAGCAGTCACCACCCAACCACAGTAACAGCCACATCGAACGTGAGTGGACAGAACACCCCGTTCAACAGACAGAGCCTGTCAGCCTGGATGAGAGGAAGATGCTATGCTGTCTACAGGGACGCATCTCAGATTAGACACACTGTCTGCTAAGTGGCGGGTCCACTCTTCCTCACGCTGATGGCAAAAGCATTCGCTTCCTCATTAACCTGATCAGCCCGCTGGCGAGGCCCGATTCGAGCTCCAGAACAGAAACAAGCCTCCAAAGTCCTTTGAGTTCTGTTCTGGCGAGAAAGCTCCGCACGAGGGTGTTTGGTCCTGGCACATCTTAAAGTAAAGAGGAGCCCTAAATTCCTCTCGGCTCATTTTTACTCTTCCTGGTAAGAATGGCTCCACTAGTGACGTCAAAAAGAAAGGCGATGAGCACGCTAGCGTTTGGGCATTCCTGGGACCTGCGTTCAAAATGTCATTTCAATACTACCAAATCCCAACCTCACAATCCAACAACCTCAAGCTACTTAAAAATAGCATCTGACTGAGGGCCCTCTTTGCCAAGCTGCTTACTTCCGTCACCATCTGCCTGAGAGGTCCACCCCACACCCAGATGCACGAGGGCCACCTCGCGTCGCCTCAGAGGTGGTGCCTTCCCTTCTCCTGCTTTCACCTCTGACAGGAGGTCTGGAACAGCCAGCGCTGCCTACACACTTCCCTGCAGGCTCCCCAAGAAGCTACATTCTTCAGAAACAGAGCACCTTCCAGATTTCTCTGGAAAGGCAAGCACTGCAGGCCTTCACCAAACGGGACGAGCTACGAGAAGCAACTCTGTGGGGAGACTGTCTCAGGGGCCTGTGGCCCCAAGCTTTGACGTATACGTAAGAACTACCCAGATACGTGATCTACGAAGCTGTGGGTCCTGAAGACATTAAATTACTGAAATCACTGAGACTGTCACGGAAATTTAAATACAGACTGGATACAAGATGCTAACAAGAAAAAATATGGGAGGATGGCAGAGTGGTTTGGTTAAAAATTAAATCACCATCAGTTACAGATACTGACCGAGGTATTAACAGATTAAACGGCATGGTGTCTACAAGCTGCTTTAAAACACTTCAGGAAAAAGAGCAGGGCGACAGGTGCGACAAGACTGGCAGAACGCTGCTGCCTGCGGGAGCTGGGTGACGGGTGCATCGGGCGAGGGTCATCACAGTCTCTACTTTTGATTATGTTTTACACTTGCTACGATAAAAAGTGAAAAACAGACAAAAAACAAAAAGTCCCATGGTGTGCTTGTTGAAAGCACCTGTTCGCTGGCCCCACACCAAGCGCCTCCCGTGCACCACGTCTGAGCCGCTCCCAGAGCCCTCGTGTCCAGCGTGCCCCCCCCGGCAGCGCCACCACTGGCGGTCCCGGGAGGACGGCACCAAGAAGAAACACCGGGTTCAGGGACACACAGTCGACCGGCACCTCGGCCACTGTACTCTGGCGAAATTAACTGCATTCAGACACTGTAAGTGTGTACTCTGGGCTTTTAATAAAGGTCACTACCAAACTGTCACGAAAACTTACTTCTGCTGTAGCCGTAAGAAAGCTATTTAGAAAAATGCTGACTAGATCACTCAGCACCCCGTATAAAATGATTCAGCGTTAAGAGTTTTCAGCTTCAAAAAAATCCCACCTCGACCCCCATCAGAACGGCTAAAATTAAGACCAACAACATCACATGAGAACGTGGAACTAAGAGACCTGTCATACATGACTGGTGAGTGTAACACAGTATACAAGCAGCCTGAAGACCGGCCTGGCAAATTTACAAACTAAATACATCCCTACCAGATGGCCCAGCAATTCCACTCTCCCAAGAGAATTAAAAACAGATACTCAAGAGAATCGTACACGAATATTCGTAACAGCATCAGCCACAACAGCCAAAAGGTGGAAACAACCTAAATGTTCACCAACGAGGGATGAACAAATTGCGGTCAACAGAATACGATTCAGCCATAAAAACTGGTGAAATACTGATACACACGGATGAACATCAAAGACATCATCCTAAGTGAAGGCAAACTGACACAAACGGTCACAAATTGTGCGACTCCATCTATACAAAATGTCAGAGTGAGGTCAATCCACAGGAGCTGTCAGGAGCTGGGGAAAGGCGTGCAGCGGGGAGCTTAACGGGCAGGAATCTCCTTGGGGGTGATAGAAACGTCAGCAAGCAGACAGGTGATGGCTACACAACTCTCTGGATGTACTAAACCCCACTAACTGGACAGGGTAAAATGGTTCACGTTATGTTACGTGAATTCCACCTCAAGAAAAGCCAAAAAGGAACTGCTGACATACATACCTAAGTCGGCCACAGAAATTCTGTCGAGTGAAAGAAACCTTACGCAAAGGAGCAAATACTAAGATTCGTAAGACACACGAAGTTCTAGGGCACGAAAAACTGGTCTATGGCAGAAAAAAAATCAGAACCACCCCAGGTGCGTGGGGGCAGCAGCAGGGACCGACTGGGCTGGCGAGGTGCTGAGGAAAATGTCCACACAGCGAGGAGTCTGGGTAACACTTACATCTTTGCCAAAACTGAACTGTGCACTTAAGAACTGTGCACGTCACTATACGCATGTTTTTACCTCCAAAGGGAAAAAAGAGCCATAAAACCAATACTGAACTCTAGTTAATGGCGTGAACGCTGTAACACTTGGGGGTAACATACCCTGATGTCTGCAACTTACTTTGAGCAGGGAAGAAAAAAAAAAGAGGGATAGCTCAGGGCCAGGAAACTTTTCCTTAAAGGGCCAGAGAGTAACATTTAAGGCTAATGAGCGTATGCGTGTCGCAATTCTCAACTGAAATTATAGCTCAAAAGCAGCCACAGAGAACACTTACATGAATGGGTGTTGCTGCGTTCTAATAAAACTGTACAAGTGGCCAGCAGGCCGTAGTGTGCTGACCTTTGGGAAAGTTGTGTGATTGAAAAAGTTAGGGAACAACTGTCCAACCTAGGTGGTGAGTACCGGGGTGCTCACTGCAGGATTTACTCAGCTTTCTCAGGTGTCTTAAATTTTTCAGAAGAAAAAGACCCTCCCTCCCTACCCACAAGTGATGCTCATCCTTTCTGGGATTACTGCCGTAGCGAAGTCACCATGAGTCACCCCCATGCGGACTGGGGTATTCACAGGTACAATGACACGATGTCCACAAACTGCTTTAAAATGCAAAAAATAAAAGAAGTAAGCTTCTTTACTATTCCCTTGGGTACCTATTTTTTTTATTTTTTTAAGTAAGTTAACTGCCTCAGAAGAAAGAAACGTATTTAAAAGACTACGGTGGCAAATGTGCATTATTTCTCTGTATGACATACTGCCAGTTTTAACTGTCTCAGCTCTAAGAGATGCTTCAGAGGAGCGAATGACAGCTTCGGTACCGAGCCATCACTGCCACCAGAGGCGTTCCCATGGACAGGCAGGTACTCCATCTCTATCAGACGCAGCCTCCTAACCTGTATCGGGCACTTACGTTACCATTAGGTTCTCAGGTACACCATGCCATCATATCGAAAGGAAAACCCAACTTTTGGCAAGATCTGTTTCTTAAAATCACTATACTTAAGTAACTTCCAAACTTTCTGTGGTAGAATATATGTAACATAAAATCTGCTACTTTAACCATTCCTAACCGCACAATTCAGTGGCAGCAATTATGTTCAGTGTTGTACAACCACCACACAATCCGCTCCCAAAACTTTTTCATGCCCCAGAATGAAGATTTGTCCCTTAAACAGTAACTCCCCACCCCCTTCAACCCCTGGCAACCTCCAATCTACTGCCTGTCCATGACAGAATTTCCTACCTTTTTAAGGCTGAATATTCCATTATATGCATATGCCACATCTTGTTTACCCATTCTTCTGCTGGCACACATCTGGGCTGTTTCCGCCTTTGGGCTCTCATGAGTAAGGCTGCTATGAACACTGGTGTACAAGTTCTGCGTCTCTGTTTTTAATTCTTCTGGGTACATACAGAGGAGAGGAACTGCCAACAACTCTTTCTTTAGCATCCTGAAGAACTGCCAGACTGCTTTCCAAAGTAATGGCACCACAGAACATTTCCATCAGCAGTGTGTGTACAAGGGTTCCAATTTCTCCAAATCCTCACCAACACTTTTCGTTTTCCATGTTTCTGATTATAGCTACCATAGCTACCACAGCAGGTTTGAAGAACTACCTCAGTGTGGTTCTGACTTGTGTTTCTCAAATGACCAACACTGCTGAGCATCTTTCCATGTTACTGGCCATACGTCTATCTTTACGGATAAATGTCTTTTCAAGAGCTTTGCCCATTTTTTAATGAGTCTTATTGATTTGTAGGAGTTTTTATATATTTGGATACTAAACCCTT